GATTCGTTTACAAGTGAGTTTCTCCGTCGATCAAAGTTTCCCAGAGATGAGCATGACGAACATCGAGACTAAAAGAAAAGTGAATTAAAATGCAACCCTTAAAATACCAGGTTAAACTTTCAAAGAGTTTTTCTATAAGGCCGGCTTCTTTGAGATCGCCTGTGTTCTGTCAGAATCGAGTCGTTTATAATGGTCCAACGTTTTAACCCTCATTATTGGTCAAAACCATGGTTTTTGTATGCTGCAAAATCGTAAATCTTGGTTTCCATGCCTCACGTTACAGGCCTGATCAAGGTAGAATTTTCATGGAAAAAATTACTTCGTTTTCAGCCGAAGGTGTGAGCTCTCTGCTCATCTCATTTTATTGTTTGAACAGAGCCTAGCAGTCGATTCAAAAAAAATGTTTAGTCATTTTCCCGTGATTGACTCCCATCAATGTTTGTCACTCTCCTTCACAGGTATTTATATTTAGCTTTTTTGAAAATTATTTCCACTTATTCCTTTTAATTTAATATGCAATCCAATGCATCTGATTTTATTTTTTTTTACTTCTCTGCAACTCTAAATATCTTGTATTTCAGTTGTATATATAATGAGCTTCTATAACCTGATTATTTGGGTATATGCATATTGTAGTGATATGCAAGTTATATATATTTCCTTAACGTGGCGACATTTTAATATCACCCTGAATCGCACTTACGGATGTCACGGGGCATTGATTGGATTTCTTATCCAAAATCTCGTACAGCATATCATTTGTATTGTTCAACGTCGAGCTCAATTCTCTAAAAGCGTTTTTGCTTAATTGTACTTTTTTGGACGTAATTACCTGAATACCGCTGGGCGGTAGGATTCCTCAGCTCCCTCGTAGATTGCTCCATAGTTTGGCACAAGACCATTCCGTATGATACTGTTCAATTCATCCTTGATTTTTTTTATATCTGCCTCTGTTGCGTGGACCTTGTCACCTAGAAGCTGATTTTCTTTCTTGAGAGCCTGAAATGCCAGTCTCTCAAAACTGGGCAAAGTGTTTCGTAAACTTCTCAACGAAGCTGAACTCTGTATTGAAAATGTAAACGAAAAAATTAACAAGGAACGTCTGATGTTTTAAAGTTGATTTCCGGGCCACACACA